CCTTGAAAGATGGAACAGATCTGTCTGCTTTCTTTCCGCTTGGTAACTGTAATATTATCGGGGGGTCCTATCTTTTTTGGGTTCCTTTTGCTTTGGCTTTTGTCTTTTGCTTGGTTGTTTCATGTTACTCTCCTATCTTTCCATCTTGCCGCACATACAAGGCCTTTGTCTCTATGCCTTTCTCTGTGTGTTCAACATGCGTGTGGTGATGCTACTTGGTTCCTCTTGGACCTCGTAGTATGCTTTATGGGTGAAAGATTGCATGATGAATACCCCTTTGCGCAGTCTCACAATAGAGTTCGATGTTAAGCTCCAATTGTTTCTCGTAAATCTGTAAACACAAAGCATCAAATCTAGTTCTAGTAGATCCAATCGTGGTTTCGGGCTGTTTGTTGATTAGAACGGAGATAGCGATAAGCCCCGGGAACACCCCGGGGCCTCCAACCCAAATTTTTCCTTGCGCATCCTCTCCGCGCTCGCGACAATGGCTGAAGAATCCCATCCTGCATACCTCTCGCCCAGCGAGCTGGGCACAAAAGACTAGTATGTGTTCTTTCCAGCCGCACCCTATTCTCTTATTCAACGCAAGGACGGGGAATCCATGAACCCCGCTCTGCCCCTCCATGTGTTGTATACAGCGAATCTACCACAGCGAAAGCAGCAATAGATCAATTGGTAGCCCGATTGATCTATAAATCTGCTTCTGATATCCAACCCTTCCAATCGCAAACTAACAATCCCAACCTAGCTGGGAATCATACTACGCCCGCACCCTAGCCCACATCTCGCACGAAGCTCCCAAAGACCCCAATGCCAATGACAAAGACCAAAATGATGACGATGTCGCATCCACCACCTCCGACCTAAACGAAGAAGATGACCCTGGCACATCCTGGTTCTCTGAACACAACGCCCCGCAAAAAGTCCTTCATTTCCTCACGCGCAAGTCCTTCCCCTTGTCGCCGCGCAATACAGTGCACAAGAAAGGATCCCGCCAGCCAAGTGTTTTAGATCTTGGGACTGGGAATGGGAGTATGCTTGCGCTGCTTAGGAAGAGGGGTGGGTACACGGGACGTCTTGTTGGTGTCGATTACTCGCGTCAGAGTGTTGAGCTTGCGAGGGAGTTGCAGCGTGTGAGAGGGCATTCGGCTTATCGGAGTGACTCTGAGGATGAGGATGAGTCTGATGATGAAGAGGATACAGAGGGAGAGGTCGAGACTGAGGCTGGATCTAATGACTTGTCGGGACAAGAAACATCCATCCAGTTTGAGGAGTGGGATATCCTCGGTTCTAAGGCTCTTCTTTCTGAGACCGGTCTAGAGGTATCACCCTCTTCTACCGAGGAGGAAACACTCCCCTGGTTCCCATACCAGGAAGGCGGCTTCGACATCGTGCTCGACAAGGGGACGTTCGATGCTGTCTCGCTAGCTGATGATGCGAAGACCACACGTGTCTGTGAGAGATACCCTGATATCGCACGGCGTTTAGTGCGACGCGGTGGGTTCTTGATGGTAACTACCTGTAACTGGACTGAGGAAGAGCTGGTGCATTGGTTCACTGGTGATCGGACGAGTGGGGATCGGTTGGCGGTTTGGGGCCGTGTTGAGTATCCCCGGTTCCGCTTTGGAGGTCATGAGGGACAGGGTGTTTGTACGGTGTGTTTTCAGAGACTTGGAGATGCTTGATACTTGAGTGGATCTGCAGAATATCATGCGAACCATGCGAACTATACCCCTAAGCAAAATGGAATGCAGATAGCCAGTATAGAAATGCTGAATATAATCCTGAAACATTCCAATCATTCCAAGGCAGAATTCTCTATTTTATTCTCATCTATTTATACTCATCGTCTTATCATGCAAGGGAAATGATAGATCGCTCAAAAATGCACTGAATACCATCATCAAAACCACAACCCACAATTTACTCCCCCTTCCTCTTCAAAAGAGCAATAACACACCACCTCTTCTGATTCTCCGTACCCTCCCCTTCCCTAACCGGAATCCACTCCCTACGAATCTCACCCCCATCCTCCAGCCTCGCAATCAAATCCCTCTCATAAATCCTCTCAATCACGAACCCATGCTTAACAACCGTCTCAAAGAACCCAGCAACAATCGCTCGCCCCGTATGGAACCCGGCAACAACCCACACCTTTCCACCGGGCGAAAGGAACCACTGCATCGTGCGTGCGAGATTTTCATGCTGCGAGCGCATCCAGAAACAATCCGCCGCGACAATGCGCGTATAGACACCCTTATTCGCCGTAGAGAACGAGTCATCTAACACACCCCATTCGTGCGGCTGAATTGACACTTGACTCGCGAGCTCAGGCGTGCGCTTGGCTAGATTGTGCTTTATATTGGAAGCGATTGCGCCGCTAAGCGCGGGGGAGGAGGGGTGGTCAGTTGCCGTGACCATTGAGGCGTTGGCTAGGGCACAGATTACAGATGGGAGGGCGGCGCCTATATATAACATGAATGGGTTAGTTTATATTTAGGTTAGGGTTGAGGGGTACAGTATGAACTGTGCCGGATGCGAAAAACGCGAAATGCCACTTACCAGCGCCCAACTCGAGCACACTCTCACCCTCGACACTCCACAACTCCCGGTTTTCTTTCTGGGCTTCTGTCTCCGTTTCACCTGGTGCTATAGGCGTATCCGCTTCCTCGACACCCTCTGCAACGACCATCGCCGCGCTCCAGAGGAAATGCGCAAAGAGCTTTCGTCCCTCGTCGACTTGGTTCACTGAGCCATCTGGCTTGGCTAGGCCTGCGGCGATTTCTTCGGAGCGTTTCTGGCTTGAGCTTGGGTAGCTGGGAACCATGATGTTGAGGTCGCCATAGCGCGGGGAGCTGTAGAGGAGGTGTTGGCCTGGGTCGCCGTGGAAGGATGGTGCGTCGTCTGGGAAGAGGTGGGGGAGGAATGCACCGAAGACATCTTCGGGTTCTTCATCGGGTTCGCTGTTGGCGTCTTGGTTTTGAAATTCGGGTGTTGGGGCGCTGGGTGTGTTGGTGGGGTAGTTGCGGCGGGGGAGGGGTCGTAGACGTGAATGAAGCATAGTTGCGGTTTGTATGGGATTCGTCGAGTTGTTTATGGGATGCGATGGATTATGCAAGTAGACTTCGAAAGTTTGGGAAAAGTCAATTGACCTATTACGTGAGGGTATTGCGACCGGGATCCATGGGTCTGATCTTTATCTCTTATCTCTAATGAAGATTTCAATTCCTAAAAATTATGTATGTTTGCACTTTTTGCATTATCGGGCATCTATTAGGTAAGATTCCCTCTACCTCGGAGCTTCAGCCCTGGGGGTCCGACCACGTCATTGCGAACCACAAAACTGGAGAATAATGATGGAGCATGAATCCTAATATTATTTCACTTATTGATGTTGAAATTCTGAGGATAAAACCATTGAGAAATAAATTCAACAGCTACGGCACCTCCCGGCTCTAATACTTGGATCGACAATGATCCGACTTTCTAATCCAATAATACCGACAAGAAGAATGCCCCGATGTCTCAGCCGCAGGTCAAGAATGGCGGGCCAGGAACCTTGGGAATGTGCCAGAAACAAGTAAGATCAGGGGGGTCAATGGTATATTACAGGGGCCCTGAAGGGCGCCAAAAATAATTCCGCGCAAGTGCTCGTGCGCAACAGGGTAGTGTGACGCTCGGAGTAATGATCCTCTCTTGCAGACGTTAGCGTGCGAGATGGCGCGACCTGATCGTTGGAATATGGTGACCCCAGCGATTACCTAACTGACACCCCGGGCCCCGGGGGCCCGGGCCACGGGTAACCAGGAATGGGTGCCTTGGACTGGTTAGATAAGCCACAATTCCCAGAGCAAAAATGATGTGCGATGTACCTTCGTGTACGGAGTATACGGAGTCATGTACGAAGTTCATTAGGGAGGGGAACAGGTTTAATTATATAAACTATATCCGGGTTAGTTAACTATCTGGGTATCAGGTGATTCTCTTGACTAAGCCCACCTAATGACATCATTGGCTCCACCACATCCACTGGCTTCTAAGCACTAGACCGGTCGATGCTATGCAGGTGATCTGGTCGATACATAGGAAACTGGTACTTTCCAAGTCACTAGTTTAGGCTCTTACGGTCTTCTCCTATCAATACATAGTCGTCATGACCCGGGTGGGAACTAAGTAACTTGATTGGTACTTGGACTCAGTGTCCAGCTGTTCTATCTTGTGACCTTGATCGTCAGGCAACTGGACTTTTTTTTTTTTTTTTTTTAAAGTGTTTACTCCGTACATCTATTGCAATGCTGTTGCAATCTAACTTGGAATATGGATTCAAGTGGGAATGGGATTTCTCTTTTATAAGCCTGGAGCCTGGACCCATGGCACTACCTTTCCCCTGGAACGCCATCCGAGCGCCAGGTATTAAGACATTTTTTTTAAAAAAAAAAAAAAAAAAAGATTATGCCCAACATTCGCCATCAACTAGTAGTGGAATTCGCTAGAATTCAAAGGGTTGACATTATACCGTCTTTCAGATAAGTGGATCCACCCTGCTATCAGCATTAGAGTCATTGCGACACACACATTTATAACACATAATAAGAGTATAAAGGGCATATAGAAATATAACATATAGATAAAATATCTAAAGGCATATATATCAAAATATATTAGCAAATAAAATACCAAAGCCGTATGTGTGACCGGTGATCGTCTCCCCCCGCATGCTCAAAGGGAAAGGCCCCCGCAAACCTGAGCGATTTTGGCTCATACCGGCCCTGACTCTCCTTCTTTCTCTTTTTTTTCCCCTTCCACCTTTCTTTTTTGGATTCCCTCACCCTTTTTTTTTTCTTATTCACTTTTCATTCTCTCTTCTCGCATTCATTGCTCTCTACCTATACATCTTTCGGAACTCCGCCTTATTTCATCTTCCCTGAATTGAGGGCAACTCGTGTCCTAGAGGATCGTCAATTCCATTGGAAGCTTCCTCTTAAATTTTTTTTTTTACCATGGCCTCATTCAAGGTAGGTCTTCCAGCATCGCATTTCCGCCTGACACTTTTTTATTTTTTTTGGACCATACTAATGTATCGGCCTCTTTTGGCCATTCACAGGAATTATCCATGTCACGTCCTCTCCCCAATACTAGCCAGCGGCATCAACACGCGCATTCGATCTCTCTAGGTGCCCTCAATCCAAACCACCGGGTAACTCGCCGAAAGAGTGTCACCACCGCCGCTGCCAATGCTGCCGCCGCAGTCGCTGCCTCCATGGAGGACGGGGAGGCCACCTCGCTCCCCATGGGTGTGCACCGCCGCAGCCTCGCAGGCCGCAAGGGACTGGAGTCCGGCTCCATCGGCAACGTATCGGGCTTCAGCTCCTACCTCTCCCGCAGCATCAATAGTCCCAGTCAGGAATCACCGGTCGCCCGCAAAGCTTCTCCGGGCTCGGACCACTCCGATGGCAAGCCCAAGAACCGAAACCGCCGAGCCAGCGAAGGTGCCCAACTCAAGACCGAAGGGAAGCGTGCCTCGACGGCCATACGTTGCGATCGCTGCGGGAAAGGGTATAAGCATGGCAGCTGCTTGTCTAAGCATATGTGTGTATCCCCCCTACCGCTCGGCCGTCTTCCTCTAGCTCGATCGGGAACATGCACCACGTCGGCTCTGTGCAGGTCGCCCTCGTGGTTCTTCAATTCCCCCTTCGTCACCCTCCCCCTTTCTTCCATCCCTTTCAGCAGCATTTGATTGACGTGTTTTTTTTTTCCGTGGTATCTTAGGTGGGAACACGACCCAGCATGGTCCGTTACTTCGAAGCTTCTCATCTCCAAGCACCAGCAGGTCCAACTGCTGGAGGCCGCCTCCGTTTTGGTCACCATGAACCACGATGACCCACCCGATGAGTCCGCCGAGTTAGAGTCGGAATTGTCGTCTGGTTCGCCGGACGCCCTGTCAGAAATGCGAGATGGCATCAGTTCTACTGAAACCACGCCGCCCCCAATGGATTCGGAGGAAGACGACGACTTCGAGATGTCGGGTATGCCGGCACAGTGGGCCAAACGCCCCAGCGTTAGCAACGCCTCCGCTTTCTCTCGCTCCTACCAGTCCATTCCCTCCAGCTCGTACAACGAAAGTGCTCCGCTGCACTCCCCTACGTTCTCCCACTTCCGCCACTCGAGCATCGACACCCGTCCCTCGACGGCGGACACACGGTTACACGAGGATGATGAGGCGGATCTTGCTGCGGCCATCGGCCTGTGCAATTTCGGAACTCCTCGCACGGGGCCTGTTTCCATGACCCCCGACGTGCCACCGGTGCCTCCACTGCCGGCGCGCTACTTGGACTCAAACAGCCACCCAAGCAACCAGGGTCTCTTCTCCCCTCAATCGCGCCCCACGGAGGAGGCCGCTCGCCGAGACTCCGAGGCCAACATCTTCCTGGCCCGATCGCTCAACCCGTCGCTGTCGTACAAGGTGTCGGATGAGCGTGAGGTTCGGACTACTGGTGGTGAGGATGCCCAGAAATCCCGTCAACGTCGCAACGCCGATGTAGACTTTGGCAACCGCTCCGCACCGGTCGATGACGACGATGGCGGTGTCTTTGGCCACATGGAAGAGTAAATCTCCCAGTAGCCTCCGCATCCGCGCGCCTCCGAGCCAGTTCTTAGGTCAAATCGGCTCATGTCGAACGACCCCCCTTCACGATTCTCATGTACGAGCTTGAGCGAATTTTTTGAACCTTCTTGTTTACATGTTTACAACCACTCCAGATGGAGATCAGAGCCAATGTCCAATAATCGTGCAGATGCTCTTTTCTCAATGGAGTGTTCCACAATTCTCGGGACCTTTTTTTTCACTACCTTTTGAGATCCCATGTATCAATCATGTCTCCTTGGCCCGCTTTGTGCTTTTTTTCTTTGCGTTTTGTTTTGCGGCTTATTCTGGAAACCCCCATAAATGGCCTACTCAGTATGGCCGGCGCATTACTTATTATCCCCATCAAATACTTATATCCATAGGGGCATGACACACTTTCATGTCCTCTATGCTTCTCGTTTTGTCATTTTCTGTTCTGTTTTGGCCTCTCACCTCGCACATATATACCAAACCCACAAATTCTACGATCCGCTTCCCTACTTCTCCCACATGTGTATCTCGTCCGTTCTTTTCCCTACGTCTCCTTTCCCAATCTCTTCTATATCTCTCACCTATGGTCTCTCACTCTTATGTGAACTCAATTGACCCTCGGACGGGGCATACAATGAATATATCTCATGAACCTATATTGTTCTAGAATGTAGATCCTTATGTCATTTCTATATCTGCGTACCTGTACATCATAAGCGGGGAATCATTGACCCACTACGGGGTAAAGGTCCATCTTTTTTTTTTGTGGAATCTGTATTTCGTCATAGATGAATACGTAGGATAAAACAAAAGGGGTTGAATGTGTGACGAGCTGGTCCGGATAGAAACTAGTATAGGTGTTAATCTCTTTTGGGGAGATTATGCCGTTGTCTCTTTCTGACCAGCTACAGTATGAGACATATTTCTCCTCGCTGATGATTCAATTGTGTCCCAATGCCTTATGTAGGTGTTGGGATATGTCTAGCTTGGCATCCATGTGGCATCTACTGATCCTAGGTCAATATATGTAGATCTATCATTCTTTCTTCCTTCAATCGGAAAGGTTTCATCCCAGATAACGGTGAAACAATGTCAATTGGCATGGTCTCAACTGATTGGTGAGGTTCAATAGCCAGTTGAGGAAACCGTCTCCTGTTTGAGATGTAAGTTGAATGGCAACTGAAAGCCTAGGCAAAGAAGTTCCATGCTAGTCATCTTCTAGTCATCTTCTAGTCACCGGGAGTGTATATCAGCATCGCAGGTCGTGACACAGAGCTCGAGTTTGAAACATAGAAGCAGAGATCATACTCAGAGATTACAATCGAGAGGATACAATAAGAGACAGTTGTAAGAGTGTTAGATGTGAGACCTAAAGCAATCGTATATACTATGTATGGACTGTCGAACTATAAGCATACTTGATGAGCTATTTCAGAAAGCAACCAAGGAATTGACAATAAGTATAAAAGAGCAAAAGCAGAAAAAAGGAAAGGGTATTAGCAGTCATTTGGATTAGCAGCCGCCACCTCCACCACCACAACCCCCTCCTCCTCCTCCACCTCCTCCTCCGCAACCACCGCCGCCGCCGCCGCCGCCATCTAAATAATCAAAGTCAGTATGTAATTCCGTCTGTCAAATGCAATGAAGGAGACTTACCACCACCACCTCCACCACTGGATCCTCCGCATGCGCCACTGCCTATATAGGAAACACATCAGCATCCATTGTAGTATACCGGAGTTCATAAAAAGACTTACTACACCCTCCATTACCACTGCCTCCCGCGCAGCTACCTGCAGCTGCAGCACCGCCTTTTGAAAAGTCAGTTTCACTAATGCTTCTAGAAGGGTGTAGGAAGAACTTACCACATGTGCCAGCACAACAGTTCCCAGCGGCGCCTGCAGTAACATTCATGCAGCCAGGGTTACTTGCGTAAGAATCACAGTTGATGGATGGGTCCATCATGTACGGTCCATAGTATGGCATCATAATAGGGTACCCATATGCATAAGGCATGTAGTATGGATAAACGTCGCCCTGATTATTAGATGATTTGGAGTCGGATCGATGACGGCCACGCTTCTCAGCACGCCGGGCGGCCTTTCGGTAGTTGCTCTGTAGACGTATGTGTTTCAGAGCGCCAGCCCTCTCAGCCGGGTTGTACAGGTTTGTTGGCCGGACAGCGTTGTGTGAAGAGATATGTGGGTTCTTGTTTGGGTCGGACGAGATATCGGGGCGATCGTGCAAGAGGTCTGCAGCGTCTCGGGCCCGAGAGGCTGAGCCAACAGTGATCAACCGGTCATACAGGTCTGGCGTTCGTGTCGCCTCGCAGTACCAGCAGGTGCATTCGCTGTATATGCCGCCGTCGGTGGCACGGCGGTACATTTTGCTGGTCCAGGCGAAGCCATCGGAGAGTTTTCCCTCGTCGACCTTGTCGTCGTGGTCAATAAACACGCGAAGGCCACTTCTTGTTAGCTTCGACGTGCTGTGTTCGTAGTACCGCAATGGGCTGAGTTGGTGTGTGTGCCAGGCCAAGTCGACATCCAGCGTGGGCACGGCCATGTTCCTTGGGTTGTCCATCATGATCTGGAAGAACACTTCGTACTTTTTAATCAGCCGGTCCATGGTGTTGAAAACTGTTGGCGAGTGCAGCCAGTCGATTTGGTCCATTTTATCCACGAAGGTGCCTTGTCTGATCACAGCACCCACAAGGTCTAGCGCGAAGGGACCGAGATTCTCCCAGTATCGAGACATCATTCGTCGGAAGTGGATCTTCTCGGCAGGCCGGATACTACTATTGGTGACACCATGCGCAGCCATCAAAATCTTTCTATCGTGTAGCTTGGTCTCAAGATGCTCCTTCAGACGGACGACGTTCTGACACCAATCCACTCGGCCATCGGTAAATTCCATCAAGTCCTTTCCAGCAGCCTGGACAATTCGTGTGGGGAATAGCATATACCGGAGGGCCCGATGATTGATCTTAGCAGTTGGGCCCTCGGGAATTCCATGAATGTTGGTGAACGCCCCGGGCATGGGGAGGCCATCGTAAAGAGTTGCTGCAAGGTCTTTTCGGAACTTTGCAACCTTAAGCCGGCCATGGTCGATTATGTGTTGACAGCCGGCGCATTTCACCTCAAATGAATTATCGGCGTAGCCATTGCCAAGTTTGAACGCATTGGAAACAGTGGCCCCAAAGTAAGCATCTGTCCACGGGACAGCGCTCACTTTTTGGCAATACGTGCAGTTGACTTCCTTGGTTGGCGGGTCGTCTAGATTATTCCACTTGAAATCCAGTTTCTGCTCGAACTGATTCTTGGCTTGTTCGGAAACTGTATACTCCATCGTGTTGTTGTTGATGCAGCGATCTATCACTTCCCATGGAAATCCTGTTGCCCAGGTGCTTATCTTACCGTATCGAATGCAATCCTCAAGGAAGTTTCGGGGATTCAACGAATGAGCATGCCAGACCATCAGAATGTCTATAGAGTAATTAGCCAATCGCCTTTCTGGCCTTGGAATTAACACACTTGCCTAGCGGGGGTAGATTGTCCGTGCTCCATGCAACTATAGTATCACAATTAAGGATGTTTTCATAGCCGATATACTCCAAATCATCGATAGTTGCCATCGGCCTTGACCGGGGAAGGCCAATAGACCACCACTTGGCGTATCGATCGACCGCACGCGCTGTATATACAGCCCAGCGCTTTTCGCGAATACGAGCCCGCGCTTCATTCAGTGAATCCGAGAATCTTTCAGCTTCGGCATCGTTGATACCAAAGAGGCCATCATCACTAGAGATAGTATCTCGCAGGTCTGCGAGCACAGCTAAAAACTTGAGATGTGCAACGCACTGATCGCGAGTGACAGTAGTCGAAGAAGATGTAGGGGGACCCAGATTCAACCGTGGCAGTTCTAGTGGCGGTTGCTCATCCTTGTCGATCGAATAGGAAGGTGGTCGCCCACTGGAAGACTCGCCGATGGCTTCCGATTGATTGGGTGCGTCTTTGGGTTTTTTCTCCGTTGACACGCCCATGTTGGCGTTTGATAAAGGTAGTATGTAGAGAAGTGTAAGTTGCTGAGTCCGACAGGTGTGGTCGGGTAACCCTTTATATCAGTTGAATACCAGGTATCTCATTCGTATCTGAGTACACTCAGATAAAGACAAGTCAGCATGGGGCGTTCAACCTCCTGATCTTTAGCCCAAGATGGACAAGATAGACGAGATGGAATGATGACGATAGCCACTAATTGTCCTGAATAGTCGAAACCTAAACCACATTTAGCCAAGTCTCGGAACACAAAGCTTTTACGAAAGTAGTGAATGGCTTCATTTACTTTCCAAGCCAATAATATGAAAACGTCTTTTCCAATCTCATACTAGATTGGATACAAAATGGTATGGCGGAGCCGGGCGCGATTGCACTGCCTTGCTGCCTTGGTGGCTTTTGTTCGCCCAAGGCTTACTTCTGCTGATCAAGTGTGGAGATTCACTGTATCCTGTACAAATGACTTTCTAGTGTCTTTCTAGTGTCTTTTTTTCATATGCTTGTACTTACCTATGCAACTTATGAAAATCAATATGGAAATACTCTAAATGTACAGCCCATCTACTGTCACGTGGGATATGGAACCATAGTTAGTCACGTGGTATGCCCCTCTGCGCTGACTCATCGATATTCCGGGAAGAAGTGCGCTCACTGAGTGAGAAACCGAAGAAAGTTGAGACGGTTTTTTTAGAGAAAGAGGAAAAAGAAAGAACCGAACCAAATTGTACTACCTGGATCAATATTCAACTCCTGTGTCTGTGAATCCGTCCGAAGCTCTCTCGCCGTCCGAAACCGAGATCTCGATCAGCAAAAACGTCATTCAGCCTGGCTTCTCTCGGGCGATCGAACGGCATCGGAGAGGGCCAGGCCCAAACTCTTGAACCGATCGCAAGCATTGATAATGCTCCTGTTGGCACCAGCCCCGTAATGGCGGGTGTAAATCAGTTACCTGTCTCAGTTGCCGCCGACGGTGTGCATGGTCGCAAACGCAATATGACAATTGCGGGGATCGACAGTTCTCCGGGGAGTATGGAGGATATGGATGACAATGATGCGCGCGAGGAAAAGAGACGTCAGCCAGTGAAGCGCGCTTGCAATGAATGTCGACAACAGAAAGTAGGTTTAGCATATTATCGCAAAGTTCTTGCGATCCTCCAGTTTGACTAACCTTTTCGGATTGCGACAGCTCCGATGCGATGTGATTCAAGACCCATGGACCGATTGTTCGCGATGCCGTCGACTGAGGCTCGATTGTAAAATTGAGTCCAACTTCAAGCGTGTTGGGAAGCGCAGCCGCAATGCGGAAATGGAGAGGGAAATAATGGAGCTTAGGAAGCAGATTGCTACTGGCCAACCTGTCCCTGGAATGTCACAGCAACGAGCATTGACTGCAGGACAACTGACACCCAAGCAAGAATCGAGTCAAGTCAGTCCCGCAGTCTATCAAACCCCATCGGCCATGTCCGCAGACCAGTACATGGGATCTCAAGAAGCTGTGGCGTCCCTCCTGGACCTTCGTTCGGGTTTCGACAGTACCAACTTCATGAGGAATGGCGGACAAATCAGACGAATTGAGGATGTTATGGTTGTTCCCGAAAAAGTGGCGGAACTGTTTAATATGTGAGTTCTAATCTGTCAAGTCTGTTATTGGTCCTAATTTGTTCCTGTCAGATTCTTCACATACTACCACCCTTTCCTCCCATTCTTGGATCGAAATCAGTCTCCCGAGGATTATCATAGCTCCTCTTCGTTACTTTTCTGGATAATCATCAGTGTTGGTGCACGACGCTATCAAGGCGATTCGAATTTGTTGAATTCCCTTGCTGGTCCTGTCACCCGGCTGGTCTGGAGCACTCTAGCAGATATCCCCCAAAGCTACCATGTTGTGAAGGCTCTCGCTCTACTATGCTCATGGCCGTTCCCGACAAGCAGCACCTCAACAGATCCGACCTTCATGCTATGTGGAATGATGGTACAGGTTGCCATGCAGCTTGGTCTCCACCGGCCTTCTCACACCCAGGACTTTAGCAAATTCCGAGTGGAACTGATCGAGGATGAATTGAGAGATAAGGTGCGAACTTGGGCGATTTGCAATATTGTTGCTCAAAGGTATGTACAAACCCATAGTCAATTGCTGCTCGCCTTTGTCTCATGTTTTAATTTGCAGAGTTTCTACCGGCTATGGACAGCCATCATCTACTCTTTACGACTGGACATTGTCCTCGAGCGATTCGCTAGACCCGAACTTCAAGCTTCCTGAAGATATAAGGCCAAGATTGGAGATCGAAAAGTTTTGTGACAGAGTCACCCGAGCACTTTACACAAATCGACGTGATCCCGTTGGCTTAACCAGCGACCATGAACGCTCAACAATGATTTCCTTCTTGTCGCGAGACTTTGACGAGTTGGAAGAGCAACTCAAACTGCAGAATGACTGTAAGCTTCCGAACTTCAAGTGGGAATATATGGGATGCATGACTAACGATGCCAGGTATTACTGACTTGTTCCTCCGTGCTGCTAACCTTCATTTGCACCTTTCGGCATTCTTTGATGAGCCAACCACTAAGAATTACCGCGAACGCCTCTTATCTCTGTATGTCGCGACGACATCATTCCTCGAAGTTGTCCTGAACCTCGAGACCGATGTTGGCCCAGTTCTCTCTTACACCCCATACTATGTCTATCAGATGATGGTTGCCGCCGGTTGCACTCTTCTGAAGCTGTGCAAGAGCTTCTTCGCTTCTCACATAGATATGGAATACACCAAACACCTATTCAACCGTACAATCTGGGCCATTCGCGGGGTGTCAGCGTCCAGCAATGACCTGCCCGAACGGCTTGCTGAAGTGTTGGCTCAGATGTGGAGATTGGGAGGAGCGACTCAACGGTCTAACAACAGTACCGATGTTGACGACTCCCTGCGCCTCAAAGTACGCTGCCGAATGAGCATGTCCCTCTTATTCGACTCTGTATGGCGTTGGCGGGAGGATGCCAGGACCAAGGGCCGAAACATTGAAGGTCAGTATCCCTTCACAAGCTCAGGTATAAATGCGTCTCTAACCTTTGATTCTAGCCTATCTGAAAAATCCAACAAATCCTGATTCGGCAGCCGATTCTTCGGGCACCTCATCTGTCGGGCCTGTACACACATCTACAATAACACCTGGAATCTCAGGGAACGATCCAAGTCTTGCCCCGGCTCCCCTACTATCCCAGGCTAGTCTTGGAATTCAACCATCCACAACCCAAGCTACCGGACTTCCAAGTGGCTTCATTGAGCCTAATTACGAAGTCTTCGATCCGTTGAACTGGCTGCTTGATGGCTTGGTAGACTTGCCTTATTCATATTCCACAATGGGTGGGATAGAATCCCAGGGCATCGTATAGATTGGCCTGCCTAATAATTACTTGGCGTTATGGCTTTCTTTTTGTTCTTTTTCCCAAGGTTGCAGGCGTGGCTTGCATTGTCTTGTATCATTATACCACACATTTTATCGCTGATACTTCCCAGTGAGTTTATGTTCTTTTCATATCCGTCTATATTTCTTATGGGTTCCTTTTCCAATATGATGCTATATTTGGCCGAAAATCCTTGTCAGAAAAAAATTCCAGCGTATAGCCTGCAATCATAAAGTCCGGTACCTTATGTACGTATATCACATTGAGTTATTTTGTGGCTTTTTGTGGGCTCAGATTCGCTCCGTAGAAGCAATCTCAACCTGACACATTGATGTTCTTGCTTTTCTCTCCTCTCATCCTTTTTGCTGGACGGAACCTATATAATCTCGGTTCTGGCCCTTCTTGTTCATATCTTCTTGTTCCCATTGCTTCTTTAGAATAAAATGGCTTTCCTTTACAACCTCAATTGGACCGAGGTGGAAGCTCGAGTTTCGCCTATAGTTCTGTGCCTACTTATTCCCTTTATCTTTTGCTCTGTGGTTGCGGCCGCTTTGGTGTTTACTTCATATACCGTGGCTAACGTTGGTGACATCTCATCTGGTGATAGTTGACCAAAACACAAATTCACATGCTGATATGATTTTCTGAACCGGCAGAGCCACGTTCCTTTCCCTACACGCAAAGACCATTTCGCGATCTTATACCAGCAGTACAAGTTTGTCGTGGATGGGCCGGGCATGATAAAGAAAGGCTATGAACAATTTACTAATGGCTTATTCGAGATCCCACGGACATTCCGCTTCGGTCAGGTCATATTATGCCAGCCAGAGTTGATTGAAGAACTAAGAAATAAACGGAGTACTATTGTCTCCCCCGAGCCATGGATTGATCAGGTAGGACTTTCGGGTACATTCTCTATATTTACGCTAACAAACATTCTATAGCTCCTCCAGATCTCTCATGTTATGCCTGGTTATTTCCCCAAGGGAATGGGATGGCCCAAGATTGCTAAAACTACTCCTGGTCTGATTCGCGCCACGGCTTATAAACACCTGCATCGGTATATACCCGCTATGAATCAGGCAATTATCTCGCAGCTGCAGACCCTAGCCTTCAAAGACGGGGGTAAGTGTTAGCGACTTTATAAGCGAGACGGTCTCTAACGTCTTTAATTAGAATGCAACGTTGGCTGTTTTGACCTGGCATACTCGATCGTAGCCCGCAGTGGTAGCTTTGCTATTGTCGGTTCGCGGCTTTCTCAGAATGAGGAATATCTTAAAGCTGTCAAGGATCACATCCTTGGGATGATAGTGACCACTCGGGTACAATTTCTTATTCCAGATTGTCTAAAACCGTGAGTCAGATGCTTCGTTGATTTCATTTTCCGTGGACTAAGACCCAAACAGCTACATTGGTGGCCTCATCAGTTGCCTTGCCACTCTTGGGACTAATTGGGATATGCATGCCTCGCGTAAGATTCTGCTCAAACACTTCGATGCACGTGCAGCAGAATATCACGCTGAGATATTCAATGGCAACAAACCTAGTGAGACTAATCTTAATGAATCGAAAAATCCGGTATCCGTCTCCTCTCCTACTCCCTTCAATGGCGCCATTACTGAACAATCTATAGGTCGAAATCTTCCAATGGCTGTATGAGAGCAGTGTTATTCGGGAGCGATGGACATATTCAGAGGTGATAGGCGAAATGCTGCTTCTGCAATTCGCCTTTATCTACACCACGTCCTATGTAAGTATTTACGTATGTCATAATCCTGCAATCTACTAATTTAACCACCAATAGGGACTCTACGGTGCCCTGGTTGAGCTATCTCGACGGCCCGAATATATTGCGCCCCTGCGCGAGGAAATTGATCTGGTTTTCTCTGAAATGGGACCAACCGTTTCAGCCTGTGATGGTATGGTTTTGATGGATAGCTTCTTGAAGGAGTGCCAGCGACTGCATCCCCCTTCAGCACGTACGTCAATAAACGATCACCCCTGAGAATTGTGCATAGCTAATGCAATAATTCGGATATTAGTCTCTGCTCATCGAGTCTGCGTTACTGACCTCAAACTTTCTAACGGTTTGTTCTCGCAAACATATCATGACGCCACCAAGGAATTATTGAGCTGATCAAGTATGTAATGGAATAGGTATCACGCTCAAGCAGGGCTCCCACGTTGCGGTCCCAAGTGGAATCATTCAACGATCCAGCGAGCACTATCCAAACCCCGACGCATTCGACGGTTTTCGGTTCGTCAAACGTGCAGCAGCTGGAGCCAAGGACTCCCGACTGGTCGACCTGAGCCCTGACTATCTAGTATTTGGAATGGGCGCACATGCCTGGTAAGTTTTGATTCTGGCTGGCCCCTTTCTTTTCGTGCACTGGTTTTAAATCCAACCGACCTGATTCAATCGGCTGATTTTTGCTCGTGTTTGCAGCCCTGGACGATGGATGGCCACTGCGCTCATGAAACTCGCATTCGCGCATATCCTAAATCAGTATGATATACTACTGCCCAATTCGGCTTCCACCCATGTGACTGGCTCCCTTTCATTCGAGGAGTTCTATGTACCCAACTTCAGGCTAAAGATTGCTCTACGGCAGCGCTAGCAAGGATATCGAGGTGGGGGACAGGGATGTCTGGACGCAAGTCAAAGGAACCAGGTAGAATTCTGATCATGTTTCGGCCGGGACTAACTCATATTTATTTCAGTTAACGTAGTAATAATAACATCGAGATGAAATATGTTGTGTTGTGTACACAAATTGCCTCGGCATCTTAAAACACTATCCGATAAGCTGATAAGATCTTGACTCCGCTTATCTCCACATCTTCAACTTCATCTCTTCATCATTGTCCCCTGCCTACCTGAAGTTGTCTCGAAATCATGGCTTCGTCAACCTCCTCCCAGAAATCTCGACCTTTGCTCATCCCACATAAGCGTGCTCTTTTATCCTTACCAACCAACAGGCCAGGTCACAAGGTACACAAAGTCCTCAATCCTAGCGCCATCCCCGCGGAGATGAGCATAAAACAGTCATACGAAGAGGCTACTCAAGAAAAAAATAAGCCCACAAGTTCAAACGGACATAATAAAAGCACGGTTGAACACGAAGAAGACTACGAGCCCCAGCCCCCGCGCTTTGAAGTCTCATTCTCTATGCCGCCACAGCCCTTCCTTGACCCACCAACCTGGGAAGCGATGCTCAAGCACGGGCGCGAGAGACTAACAGCAGAGTCAGTAAATGATGAACTGGGCTCAGGGGTGGATCAGGAAGATGAATCGGCTGAGCGAATGAGACAACAAGTGGAGCGCGAGACGCAGTATGGGTCTATGGCTATTCGGGGCCGGTCGAGTGTACGTGGGCGTGGGAAGAGAGGAAGGGGGAGAGGCAATGTCTACTGGGGTGGTAGGCGCTGATATTGATGGGTTTGGAATGAGCTGGTTGTTTTTTAGATACCCCGTATGTGATTAATTGAACAATTATGACCATCTCGCACCTAGGCATCATTACTTTCTTTTTAGAGCCCTTTTGTTAGTACAATGTGGTGCCAACTTGGTCTTGCTTCCATACAGCACATTCAGATCCGTGGGCTCATATATCATTACATCACTCAATGAGCTCATTTACATCCAGCCAAGAGATTAGTTATTGCTTTATAGGCCATCTTATGTCACACAAGTGAAAGCAAGGGGTAGCTTGAAATCCTTATTCGGTCCTGGACTGATGAACCGGTTGGAAATTCGATACGGATGTATGCTATAAGTAAACAAAACAAGGTAATGGTACATCTGAGGTAACAAAAGTTGAGATAAAGCAGGGATAAAAACAATAGAATCATCATCATGGGTTCATGTTTCGTAATCATCATAGGTCTGAGGTCATATCAAAATATCATCTCGGGGCATTGAAGCAATTTTAAAACAAGACAAAAAAGCAAACGCATCGTGAAATCGTCGGGCAAGTGTTTGAAATGCGTGAAACATATCCAGTCATAAATATCGGGATAACATGAGACCAAAAAGAAATAAGGACATCATTTGAATCATCTCATAGCCACCTCAGCAGTAGCACTAGATGCCACGTAGACAGGGCCACCAATGCTCTGCTTGAGGGCCTCCCTCCGGACAGCCCGTTTTCGCTCGTCTCGTCGCTGGCGTACACGTCGGAGACGATTCCGCACATTACGCCATGACATCGACTGGAGCCGCAGTCCCCAGCGAGAGAGAGACCGGAAGCGACTCCGGTTTAATGGGGATCCTGTTCGGAACATGCCTTGATCAACCAAGCTACCGTTGCTGGTCATTCCATTGAACAAGCGTCTCATTTCTGGGCTGCGGCGCGCCAGGGCCGGCGGGCCATCGAAGATGATACGCCGCTGGGGCAGGCCTAGAGAGTTGTTTACAATCAAGGATTCATCGGGGCGTGGCAAATATTGCCGCGTCGGCGAGGTTTCTTTCTCTGGGGACTCGGGTACGTCTTCCCAGAACCCGCGGGGTCGCCAAAACGGATAAAGACGACTGTCCATTTCCATTCCGGCGGTTCGGTTCTTCGCCGATTTCATGGAGAATGACCTCGCTATATTGTTGAAGGAATCCGACCGAGGGCGTGCGCCCCAGGTACGACGGACGGAACTCCATCGTCGACCGAGGCCTTTGTTTTCATCTTGGGCTTCATGCAATGGAAGCGCGGGAAGAGGTTTGGCGGATGGGGGCTTGGGCGGAGGGCGAGGGTTCTTTAAAGGCGAGTCGACATTGACTGTTGCGATTTGTGGTGGTTTGTCGGGTGTGCGAGGCGGTTGGGGAAAATCATAAGAAATTCCAAGCGCTTGGAAAGGGTCCCTCGAGTAGGTCTGTACCCGAGGGTCAACAAGCAGTAGTGATCGATTGTTGTGTGCGAACAAACTGACGGCTGTAGCCTCTTGGATTTCGATAGGGCCCGGCGAAGACGATGGAATCGAGCCTTGGGTGAAAGGTAAAGAGGGAGGGCGCAGGGTCGCCATATCATCGGAGCTAGCAAAGAGGGCGTGCATATTGGGAGCCTCGAGTAGGCTACGGCGGTCAGCCGATGCCAAAACGTTGTGGCGAGGCGGAGACACCGGCTGATGCTCACGACTCTTTTGGATCTCGAGGTTCATGGCTAAATTATGGCTTCGTAGACTGTCGGAAGTAAGGGAAGTCGCACGGGAATTGTTCCGACTCGTTGGCGCAGAAAGCGACGAGCTTCGGGGTGGAATGGCGGGACGCTCCGTGGGACGACTTCGCAGGCTGTTAGAAGTGAGAGATGTCGTGCGAGAATTGTTCCGACTCGTTGGCGCAGAAAGAGATGAGGCCCGAGGTGGAATGACAGGCCGCGCCATGGGACAACCCTTAGAATCGATCTCGCGAGATCGAGTCGACACTGAATCAGACACGGTGCGTTTCTTCTGCCCTGGGATATCTGTGCAGCTCGTTGATGCTGTCGGAGGACGACGGCTTGATCGCTGAGACCCCGGTTTGGAAGAAACATGACTGTTAGGACGGGACTTGAGAGATGAACTTCTCTCAGGTATGACCACCACGTTGATAGTTTCAATATTGGGCTGTATCGCGCTGTTGCTAGTCTTGGCCGAGAACGACGTCTCCGGTGTTCTGCTTCGAAAATCCTGATCAGAAATGCGAGCAGCCTTGTGAACTAGGCGGTGCTGGGATTCAGGGATGGAGCCATAAGATGTACGTTCAGATCTTGTTATGGGAGAGCTGGCAGACCGCAGAGAGCTTTTTTTTCGGTATGCCGGAGCATTCGCTGGGCTCGTTTGGGAGAATCGATTATCATAGCCTCGACGGTGGATGTCGAGGAGATGACCGACAAAGGACGGGCGTCTAATACGCTGGATTTTGCTAGACCCTCCGACGACGATGACCCAATATTCTTACGGAAGCGCTCCATTGAAGTACGTGCTTCGGGTTCATGTGCACCATTGACGCGGTCCCGCAGACTTTTTTCTCTCATCAAAGACGCATCCAGGTGCTTTACATCCAGCGCATCTCCCTCAAGGTCTCTCCCAAGGGTTGAGTTATAGACCAATTCTGTGTGGCTCTGTGCAGACTTTCGCTTTCCGACTAACGGTGTTGGCGACCCATCGATCGGGTTTGCGGCCCAATGTCCGTCAAAAGACTCGAATCTAGTGTCACATTCGGTTTCGCCATGTTGTTGAGAAGCAGACGGCGGAGATCCTTTTGTATTTGGAAAGTGTGAAAGATATCCATTTGAGACGGGTGGCTTTGATGGCTGCCTCCTTTGTTTTGTTGTCGGGGTCGCGGTCTGAGACACATTAACCGGTGTGTCCATATCTTCTCCCGGCGAGATACTCTCCAAGGCCGTTTGAAATGAATCGGCTCGAGATGACGAGGAGAAATAACTAAATTGGTTCAAGCTAGGTCGCTGATCCGAGCTCGTTCGAGGAGGCGTCACATCCGGGGTCGGAGGCTTAGAGGGACGGCGAGGGGTCAACATCCCAGATGTGGGCATGTCTGACAAAGAAGAATTTATTTTCTGAGGTGTTCGTTCGTCCACCGCAAGTTCTTCGTGGCCTGCACCTGGCGGCGTCAAGGGAAGTGACGGCGTCGCAGTATGTTTCCCATCCTGATCCGAGGAGGCCGGTTGGATGACTTCGATGCTAGGAACAATTACACCCCGCCGAGGGAGCGTCTTGTGAGACCGTATGAGTGGCCGTTCGAATGCCTGCAAATCATCCGACGACCCCATCACTTCCACGCCCGGCATCTCGGAAACAGCACACCCAGGGAGACCTGAAGCATCCACGGTCGCTTTTGTGAATTCGATTGGCGTTTAGATACCTTTGGGTATCATAGTACTGAGTAGGATGTCTCGTTCAGAGTGTCGCAAGGGTCGCATCGCGCGCGATCACTTCGCGACAAAGATGCGACCAATGGTCAAAGTCAACGGTTCGTAAAGCCCGAAGGCTTTGCTTTGTCTCTTTATGATGCGGGGGGGAACCGATCGTCCGTGGTATATTCAAGTCCGCCACAAATGACAAACAACTGTTCAGTATGGAGTAGGGAACATGAGTATATGCTTGCACAGATGAAGACTCTGGCTCGACCTGTCTCTCTGTGCAATGTGAGCTGTAAGGGTGGGGATGGACGATATTGGCGAGTGGCTGGGGGGTTCCAGTCTCAAGCCCTTATGCCTGTGTTTCAGCTAATTATGGGGCAATAAAGAGTGATCATTCATATAACATATAAGAGAATTAAAAAAAAAAAAAGAATATACAGTGTTCAGAAATGCTCGTGTGAAAGGTTGAATAATATGACGATGGGGGTTGTTTTCGTGCCCCAGTTTCCCGCTGATTAGCGCCTATTTCCTATTCAGGTAATATTGATGCCTTGTAGCCTCATCTCATTGAGACTTCATCACACTGCAGATCCATCACACTAAATTCTAGGTATGGGGGCCCCTTGAATTCTTATCCTACCATGGCTTGGGATTTTGTGTCTGATGAAGACTAGTTTCGGTATATCTTCATCCTTGGGTGTGAACCAGTGATTGGTTACTGCATCCTACAATGTACTTTGTACGATGTATACGATCGACCTCATCTACAAATTGGGAATATGTGGAGACTCGAAATTAAATGTGTCAAAATATTCCTTGGGCATAGATTGGTTCGAGATCTCATGGCTCTATCACAGCCCTTACTTGGCATGTTTGGCCCTTGATGCAGGTCTTAAACACACATACGGAGTACATTCCTTAAGATGCACATCCTTATTTTGTTGGTCTCACAAATGAAGAACTATGGATCTCGAGCATCCCAGCCCAGCATAGCATAGATAGTAATAAAATAGTGGCCCGTAGCATGATATCGTATACAACACACTTCTGGCTCCTGTTCCAGTTCCCGAAACTCGATACCTGACTAATCTTCTCTTGGATATATAAAGACCCGTATCCTCTTGTTCGGTAGCTCTCTTTTTTGGAAGACGGCTTATATTTGAAAGTGTACATCTATCTGATATTGTACAGCGGATACATCAAGGAGAAGACGGTAAACTTTCGAGGACTTAATAGGGGTTTCGGTTTTTATCATATGAGAAAGATTTCTATTTTGCATCCATACATGTCATTGAGTCTGTGCAGTCATGATATATCAGACGTTTTATATTTGCAACGGGGTTGAGGCTGTAAAAGAAAAAGAATCCTAATATACGTACAGTCCTGCGAGCTGTTAGCCAAGAATCGCAATTCCCCTATAAGATCCGATGTAATTCTACAATTAGGTAGTGGGGAAGAGTAATTGTGAAAGATAAGCTGTCAATCTCATATGACTATGCACATATTGAGTGAGTATAGGGATAGACTCTATGAGTGGGACTGATGTTCGCAAGAGAAACTTCAATCTTGCAGTGCTACCTACATACATCATGGTACCTAGATACCTAGGTAGAGCTGCATTTCTGGACTGTTACTAAGCACAGCGCTGGGCCCCTCGGGGCCAACCCTCTAGAGCTACGTTGTATACCTGTTGGATTCATTGGGCAGTTTCTACTACTCCATATATGACTTGATCTACATGGCTATGTGGAGTCGATCAAATATAATATATCAAGATGTTCCTGATACTTCTTAGGTTGTACATGAACAGAGCTCCATTCTCATACTTGTATGCGCACTCCTGACTTGGTATATTTGCCCTTGTAGTTTCAGGATTCCGGGGAGTTGAGATCTGCATATTCATCTCGACGCTCTCCCTCTCCGTACGAATAGGAGACTCAAAGCTTAGCGGATATTCTGAGAATGGCAGCCCAGTCATCATAGGCTAAAAGCAAGTGTATTCGTAAATCGGTAAATCCGGAATTCCAAGTACAATTTCAAGCATGTGGCAACGGGTGATGACGATATCAACCCCCACACAAGCCAGGGTTTGAAGACTTTTGGAATCAGGTCAGGCAAGCATTTTGTGTGAGAGATTGCCTTGATAAGGTATTGTCTAGGAATATTCCCAGAAATGGAGAATGGCGCAGGAGTCTCGTCTCTGGTCTCTTGTCCTCTCGTTGTCTCATTCTCTCATTCTCTAGTCTCCGGGGTAAATGATGGGGTAAATGGTCACAAAAAGAAAAGAACCTAAACAGCTGTACTCCGTACAACATGAAGAATAATATACATAGATTGAGCTCATTACCACAGTGGATCAGTGGCGTACCATGACGTCCCGAGAGGACCAGGATGGAGGTTGGCCTTGGCAGATGACATCGCAGGGAAAGATCTCTCATTTCGTCATAGCTCTCCCCCGCCATCATCTCCTTTCTCCCCTATTTTTCTTCTTGTATTTGTGGGATTTCCGGTGCTTCTATCTTGATTTCTCTTGTTTTGTGATTTACAACGTCCTTTAGTGGGGTAAATCCATTCAACTTGTCTGAAAACCCTTCCCTGAAAAACCCTTCATCCTTTTCTACTATTTTCCATTCTTCCCCGAAACCAACCCAGAACTGTTTATGAATCACGATTCTTCGACATCATGAGTACGATACAGAATATCAAGAACTTCATTCGGCATGGCAAGCAGGCCCGCCTTGTCACCCCTCATTCCGAGCCCACGACCGACGTTTCCACCATCCATGCAGAGCCACAACGCCAACCGATAGGCCAATATTCACCTGCTCTCGAGGCTTTTGGTCCTGAAGGCCGAGCCAATGCCGTCCACAAACCTGACTCTCAGATCAGACAGGATCGTTCTGTCGAAATCGAACGTCTAGTGGCAGAGGAGAACTTGAACCGATCGAAGATGCCCAAATACCCCGGCCTAGAGCGCTGGATCATGGTAGAGAAGATGGGCGATGGCGCCTTCAGTAACGTCTATCGTGCCAAGGATACAACGACGGAATATGGCGAGGTGGCCATCAAGGTCGTCCGCAAATTTGAAATGAATAGCAATCAGGTAGGTTTTACCGCAAGGTGCCTTTCTTTTCCTTTTCACCATGGGTTTTGTGTTCTCGTTTCTTCGTGGTTACATGCTTTGCAATATGTCCATAAACATGGCCAATACGTTCTGTAGAACGATCCTCATTATCCGGCGGTCAAAAAAGTCCCCAAGGCATTGGAGGTGCGCAAACAATTCTTTCCTGACGGTCGACATGCTTCCTCGCAATGGTGACTTGCGTCTGTCGGCAAAACGATATACTACCCCATGCCACTACCTTTGTGTATCGCTGCGCATTTTGTTTCGCCATTGCTAACTCTAGTCTTTTCAACAGCGGGCAAACATCCTCAAAGAGGTTCAGATTATGCGCAATCTTGACCACCCGAACATCGTCAAATTGATCGACTTCTCCGAGTCACGGCAATATTACTACATCGTCCTCGAACTCTGCCCCGGGGGTGAATTGTTCCACCAGATTGTCCGGTTGACATATTTCAGCGAAGATCTCAGCCGTCACGTCATTCGCCAGGTTGCGGAAGCAATTGAATATCTACACGAGACATCAGGTGTCGTCCATCGGTTTGTCATCCCATGGAAACTTGCTTTTGCGCAAACTAACATTTTTATGAAGTGACATTAAACCAGAAAATCTCCTGTTCTATCCAACTCCTTACGTTCCCAGCAAGAATCCTAAACCTCAACAACCAGGAGACGAAGACAAAGAAGATGAGGGAGAGTTTATCCCCGGAGTTGGTGCTGGTGGTATTGGTAAGATCAAGCTTGCAGACTTCGGTCTGTCCAAGGTGATCTGGGATAGCCAGACGATGACGCCTTGCGGTACTGTCGGGTATACGGCCCCCGAAATCGTCAAGGATGAGCGTTACTCTAAAAGTGTGGACATGTGGGCCATGGGTTGTGTGCTCTACACACTTCTCTGCGGGTTCCCTCCGTTCTATGATGAGAGCATCCAAGTCCTTACCGAGAAGGTGGCGCGCGGTCAATACACCTTTTTGTCACCCTGGTGGGACGATATTTCCAAGTCGGCCCAGGATCTGATTTCGCATCTCCTCACTGTGGACCCTGAAAAGCGGTTCACCATTAAGGAGTTCCTCGCACACCCCTGGATACAGGGTACCGACGAGGAGACCACCGCCGCCGCCGACGCACCCCCTCTAGCAACACCCTACCTCCAAACACCCGAGAAAGGCCCACAACAACTCGACTCCTCCAACGCCGAACACGGGCCCTACCAGCCCGCCAGTGCCCGCTTCCTCGATCAACCATCTGTCACAGCAGAGCGCCGTATGGACTTCCGATCTCCAGGCGCTTTCAACCTCCGTGAAGTCTTTGATGTCGGTTATGCAGTGCACAGACAAGAAGAGGAAGGAAAACGCCGCGCGAACGCGCGCCAAACCAACCGCAGTGGCACGGCAGGATTCCAGTCGGCACTCGGTGCACTTAACGAAGATTATGATGATGAGCCCGAATACAGCCACCATCTCGGAGGCCAACCACCAGCCAAGGTGGCCAAGAACCAAGGGGACATGGCCGGAATGGAAGCCAAGCTCCGATCTACGAACCTTGGCGCCCAGAGCAGCGCCGCACAAGCACGACAACCACCCAACCAAACAAAGCCCAAACAGGGCTACGGCATGCATGACGCCACTGTCGCAAATGCTGCAAAGTCTTCTATTCGCAAGCATCAGCAACCGTTTGAACTTACATTGAACGGCTCTACGTTGCTTGAGAAGCGTGGCCGTCGTAATCAACCGGTGGCATAGACAGGATGTATTTCTTCCATCAGGGTCATGATGTGATGTCTTCATAAGTTCTTTCCACTTTG